TGGAGTGCTGGGATTAAAAGCATGTGCCACCATCACTCTGCTCAATTTAAACAACTTTTAAGAAAGGATTTTTCCAGAAGCAAAGGACATGAAGTTCTAAACTGGAAGTATTTGGGAAACAAAGCCCACCTCATCTTAAAATGTTCTTGAATCAACATTTTTTCCAAAACACATGGTCACCAAGTACATGAGATCTTCAACATCACTAATTATCAGGGGAATGCAAATTAAAACCACAGTGTCACCTCACATCTGCTTGGGTGGTTATTATTGGAAAAATATGAAACACATATTGGCAAGGACATGCAGAATAAGGAAGGCTTGCATGCCGCTGCTAGGAATGTGAACTTATACAGCTTCTGTGGGAAGCAGTGTGGAAAGAAGAAGAAAAACAGTATAGAGGTTCCTCAAAAAATAAAGTTAAAAATAGAACTATCATATGATCTATCAATCCCATCTGGGCAGATAGGAGAAAGAAGTGAATTTAGGCTATCAAAGACATTGTCAGCAGTCCTGTGTTCACTGCCTTTAGGCAAAATACAGAAATAATCTAAATGCCCACTGAGGAATGAGTGAATACAGGAACTGTGTATACATTGAGAGTGATATTTAACCTTTAGCAAGAACAAGTGTCATGTTGTCTGACACAACTGGATGAACCTGGAGACCTTATATCAAGTATGGATGTCAATCACAGGACAAGCTCTGCAGGGTTTCACCTGCACGACATCTAAAATGGTCTATTGTGTAGAAAGTGAGTCAAATTGTGGTTAGAGAGGCAAGGGGAGGAAAACTGAATAAAGGAAAATAAGGACTGGAAAGGTGACTCTGCAGCTTTGACAACTGAAAGAGCAATGGCTGCTCTTCCTGAGTATCCAGGTACAATTTCTAACGCCCACATGGTGGCCCACAGCTATCTATAACTCCATCTCCAGAGGATCAGATGCCCTCTTCTGGCCTCCATGGGCACCATGAAAATGGTGCATAGACACACCTGTAGGCAAAACATCTATGCACATAGAAAAACTAAAATAAAAAAAATGCCCCACAAATAATGAATACAGTGGATGAAATCACACTTAAAATACATCACTGTGATCAACTCATAAGGAGATTCAGAGAAAGAGAAAAACAGAAAAATTACCAGGAATCAGATGGAATTTGTTTTATCAGAAAATGAAAGCTAGAAGATAATTAAAGTGTGTCAAAAGCCCAAGGAAAATAGAATTTGAACCCAGAAAATCTAGCTATCAAGACAGAGAGCCCAATGATCTGAGCATTGATAAGATTGTGCTGGGAAAATACATGCATAGTTGAGAGTTAGGAGCAGAAAATGGGGTGAAACAGTTAAATCTCAACTGCATCATGGGAAGTCAATAATAAATGATTCACATTATAGAAAAATCCATAGCTACTAATAAAAGAATATTACTGAGTAATATGTTAACTTTGGAAAACTTGAGGAGTTTATTATTCAACAAAACCCCCCAGAATTCAATTTTTTTTATAAAATGTTTTGGAGAAAATTAAAGATAAGGATTGAGATAAAGACCTGCATGACAGCCTTTAAGGGACTTCTGCATCCCTGAGTCTGGCTATGCAGATCCTATGTTCTTAGAACTTGTCCAAAGAACGGTGTCATGCAGAGTAATGTCTCCAGCACATTGCATGCTCTTCACAAGTGACATCAAATCCAAATCTTTCTGCCTCTTTAACCTTCTGAAGCTCACTGCTCTCCATGTCCTCCTACAGCACAAGTAAAGTGAAAACTACTTCTCTTCCTAGTTGGGATGATAATGATTACAGAAATTTGAAGAAAAAAATGGAAATACTTTCTAAAATCTAATGACATTTACACAGATGTGTACATTTAAGGAATGTGAGACCATAAATTTTGGGATCCTCTCCTCTGGTCTATGAGCAGAGGAACTGTTGCACCCAGTAGTTAAGTGACTTTGGGGAGCTCTTGTTCTCCTGGCTCTGAGCATTGGTTTGTTTTCCTGTTTCACAATCCATCACAAGTAAACATATTTTGCAGGCAAGTCACCTGGAGGTGCTCTGTTTTGTAGCTTTCTCTCATCCATTCTTTCAGTACTCATGCTAGGATCTCAGGAATATAATGTAGAATAATAGAGTCTACTCTCGTAACTCAAAAGCAGACTGAAACCTAGGAGAGGACAATGGGGCCAAACAATCTCACCTGTGGGGATGAGGAAAAGCCCAAGGCAACAGAATGGAGGGAAATCAAGGAAGTACTCTCTGAGGAAATACATGGAAGACATTTCAAAGGACACTGTTTCTGCTCATAGAACTTCTTGTATGGTTCTTCTTTTTAAAAATTTACTTATAAGGACAAATAAAATTAGAAGTGATGCAATCCACCAATGTTTACTGGATGATTCTATGTTCAAAACAGAATATGATAAGCACAAAAGAAATGTAAGCAAGGACTAGAGAGATGACTCAGAGGATCAAAGTGCTTGCTGCTCTTGTAGAGAACCCCAGTTCATTTCCAGCAACTATATGGTGGTGGCTCACAACTGTCTGTAACTACAGTTTCAGGGGATCTGATGTTGTTTTCTGGCCTCTGAATGCACCGGGAACACATGAGATAGACATACAAGCATACAAGGCAAAATATTCATATACATAAGTCTCTCTCTCTCTCTCTCTCAGTTTTTGTTTTTTGTTCATTTTTCAAGACAGGGCTTATCTGTGTACCCCTGGCTGTCTTTAAACTCATTCTGTAGACCAAATTGTCCTGGAACTCAGAGATCTGCCTTCCTATGCCTTCCAAGTGCTAGGATCAAAGGTGTGGGCCACCACCACTTAGCTAATCTTTTTTTTTTTTTTTTTAAACAGAAACATAAGAAAATTGGGCTGGAGGGATAGCTCAGCAGTTAAAGGCTAGGTTCACAACCATAAATATAAGAAAAATATTACAGAAATTTAAAGGACAGTATGTTCAGTTTTGAAATACAAAATGAGGTATATTTAAGAAATATGAACAAAATTTTCCCCAGTGGTGGTGAAGTTTGAACTCAAGACCTACAATTAACTATTGAGCAGCTACACTCCCAGACTATGAGTGGGGTTTATTTTTCATATGTAAAAGACTATTTTATCTTTTTGTGTATGTGTGTGGGTGAGTGCCTGCATATATGTCTGTGTACCATGTGCATGTCTGGTGCATGAGACAGACTCCTGTACACTGACCTAGGACTTACCCAGTGAGCAAGCCTACCCGGCTAATGAGTGCTGGGGTGATCTGCCTGTCTCTGTTTCCCTCGGATCAGAATTACATACCCATCATACCCTGCTTTAAAAAAATATTTGGGGGAGGGAAACAATTGCTACAAATATGTATAGTTTTTCTCCCTCCCTCCCTCCCTCCCTCCCTCTCTCTCTCTCTCTCTCTCTCTCTCTCTCTCTCTCTCTCTCTCTCTCTCTAGCCCTGACTGTCCTGGAACTAGTTCTGTAGACCAGGCTGGTCTGCTGGGGGTTAAAGGTGTGTACCAGCACACCTTTATTTCATCGTATGGGTTCCTGGGATGGAAATCTAGTCATCAGTCTTTGGGGTGGGCACCTTTATCTACTGAACCATCTTGATACCCACATCTTTTTTAAACGTGGGTTCTGGAAATCAAACGCAGAGATCCCAGTGCTTGCACAGCACGCATTTTACATACTGAGCTATTGCCCTAGTCTGTGGTCAGTCTTTAGAAAATGTGTTTGTTATAATCAAAAAGGGCTATTGAATTTGGTTGACGTAGTTGGAAATTTCACATTCTATTTCTCAGCTGTCTTGTCATGGACCTTGCTGAAGTGATTTAATCTTCCTCTTGAACTGTAAATTTTCAGTATATGAGCATGGTACTGCCTGATTCTCAATAAACATATGCCTAGTGATCAAGCAAACAGGCAAATGATATTTAACTTTGGGTGCAAAAGGTAAGTTCAGTTTTAAGAAGCATCTATTTAGTTTGGGGGAGGGTCGGCTAAAACAATTGTGTTGTTTGATTTTTATTTTTTGAATAATTCTGTTGTATAAGAACACAAGTGAATAGTGTCACTTCTTACTTAGTTTGTTGCTCTGGTCTTTGGCAGTTCTACATATTCTCGCTATTTAGACCAGGCTGGCCTCGAACTCTAGTGATCCATCCACCTGTCTTTGACTCCTGAGTGGTGGGGATTAAAGGTATGTGCCATCATACCTGGCTTCAGTTGGTTTCAAAAGTAGAAAGAAAGGGGGCACCTGGATTTGAACCAGGGACCTCTTGATCTGCAGTCAAATGCTCTACCACTGAGCTATACCCCCACTGGCCACTACTGTTCTCCTCCACATCTGTGGACACTCTGACTCTCGGACTGAAGATGGACAAGCAGTTCCCACCCATTTGCGCGTTATCAGCAAGGTGTACGGGTCACCAAGCCGTGCGATCTACAACGTTTGACCAACCAATCTCAGGGCTAGTCTACTTTTGCCTCTTGGCGGTGACAGGTGACGTTCCCGTTCACCATCACTAGTGGCTTAAACCTAGTAGAAGACTTTCCAGATTCCACAGTCTCTACATTTCGTCTTTCCTGGTCCTCCTGCCCCCCGGCAGCTGGCAGAGGTTGCTGTGCCGTAATCTCTGTATTCTCGCCACCCGGGAGAAGAAGCAAGAATTGTAGATCCAGAGACAGTGCCTTAGCCCCGAGGTCAACCAGCCTCAGGCTCCGCCCACCTGGTCTGCTGGACGCAGGAGCAGTGACGCAACTCTGCTTGCGACGCCGGGAGTCCGCAGCCTACGCTGCCCGAAACAAGGCGAAGGGGCTGGGGCTGTGATTGCGTCATAAGTGTGCGACAGCACCTGCTCTGTTGCTTTTCGTTGTGGGGCTGAGGCGCTTTCCTTGGTCGGTCTAAGCTCCTAGTCGATTCATTCCTGTTGTACCTTCCTTGTCTTAGTGTCTTGAGAGGTAGCTTGGTTCGGGTGTTGCGAATCCTGGAGATGCGCGGCATGGCGAGCGCGTGCGCCGGTCGTCCTCATCTCCTGCTCCGGGTGTGGGGACTCGGTGTCTCCAGGCTGTGGAAAACCTCAGGCTATGGACTTCGCAAAGTCACCCCTTATGGACTTCGCAAAGTCACCCCTCGAGATCGGTAGGACTGGAGTGGAGAGCAGAGCCACTGTGACCTCGGGGATCGCTCAGTTGGCGATCGAGCCTGGAATACTCTTCTTGCTTCCCTTCCAGAGAGGGACCCTTTCGGGTCGGGGAGCTTATTTTAGCTCAGACGGGAAAAAGACAAATTCGTCTGTGCTACACCTGACACTTTAATAGTAACCGGGGACAATCCCGTTCATCGAAATTGTGGGCAAGTTCCCGGGCCAGGTCCTGATGGGTTCCCCGGTAAGAGTTTTCTGCTGCAGGGGCCAGTTTTGGGGAACTATTGATAAAAACAGGGGATTAGGGGATGGGGATTAGGTGGGTGTGGGTTCCAGCAAGGGGCAAAGACGGGTGCAGTACCACAATCTGATGAATGACCTCATCATATCGCCAAACGCTGGAGTTTCTCAAAATGTTGGGTTTTAAAACATGTTCAGGTGTTGATAATTTTGGAAAGACACTGAGTTTAAATTTGATAGCCCCACTCCCTTGTTTAAAATGGAGATTATGCCAGTTTTGTATTCGAGTGATGTGGTCTCTAAACAGAGACATAATCGTTTGTTCCCCACAGCTCTTATATGAGTTCGGTACTTAAGAGAATGTTGACTGGGGGGGGGTAAATTTTGTAGTATTTTATTTTTAAATATTTGGGGTGTGTGCGTGCATTCGAGCCGCAGTCAGAGTGTGGAGGTCAAAGAATATAACTCTCTTCAGCCACCTTGTGAGATCCTGGAATCAAATTCAGTTTATAAGGCTTGTCCACAATGTATCTACTGGCCAAGCCATCTTGCAGGCCCCATGGCGGTATTTTAATAATAATACTTAATAAGGCATGTTACTGGGAGTATATTTTATCACATATATTTATATTAAGTTACAGTTGTAACTCAGCTGTAGAGGGCTTGCCTAGAATGCATCAAAAAACCTGCATTCTGTTCCGTTCTTTTTTTTTGGGAGATGAATGTAAATGGCTATGCACTCCAGATGAGACACCAACCGACCAAAGAAACTATTCCATTTAAGTCTAGTTTGGTGAACCAATGAGATGATTAGTATTAAGTACCGATGTGTGTGGATGTCACAGAGCCTCTTCCTAGAAAAGCCCAATTCAAGCATGGCTATTACCTTCTAAAAGCCACATCAATAAAGTCCCAGTCCCAGTTAACCTTTCACCTCTTATATGCTATGCCACCCCTAATAACCACGTGAGATCGAAATTGGGACTTGGACAAGTTGGGTTCTGGTGGGTGAAACTCACCCCTACCCCACTTCAAGGATCGAATGTTAATAGGCCCATTCTTGGGATATTTTGAGGTGTCATCGGGAAATGTCATATATTGATTTCAAGGCTACAAAGGTCTTATTTGCCTAGAGGATGGAGTTCTACTATTAGCCTGACATGGTGGTACATGCCTTTAGCACCTAGCAGGCAGAGACAGGAAAGTGCTATGAGTTTGGGCCAGCCTGGTCTACATAGCAAGGTTCCAAACTCACTAATATTATAATTCTAAATTAAAAGTTAAGCATTTTTTCAACCCCCCCCCAACAAGATTTCTCTGTATAACTCTGACGGTCCTTGTCCTGTAGACCTCAAACTCAGAGATACACTTGCTTCTGCCTCTCAAGTGCTGGGATTAAACATCACCACCAGTTCAATTTCTTGATAAAGTTTCTTTTTTTCTTACATTAAAATGTTCTCATCATTTCAAGAAAAAGGTGTCTAATAACTTCATAACTGATTTTCTGGCCTCTTATGTATTCCCTTGCCATATCAATCTTCATAAAATGCCCTTTCTGTGGCCTCAGTGACATGCCCTAACTACTTATCAGGCCTAGTTCAATGCCCCAGGCTGACTTTTAAGTCTCTGTCTCCTGTCCTACAGTGCTTATCCTGCTTGTGCTATGCTTAAAGCTATTCTACTATCTATTACTGGGGTTCAAGGCCAGCCTGCTCTGTAGAGCTGGTTTCAGGACAAAGAAGCCCTGTCTTTACCATGATTTTTTTCTTTAACTCTCCACTCTTGTCTTTAATAATAATAATAATAATAATAATAAAAGCAGTTCTTATCATGATTTTTTTTCCTCCTTAATTCTCTACTCTTGACTTTAAGCTAGGGGCTAGGGTGTTCTGCTACCTCTAGCTCTAAGGCCTTTATCTGTAATTTGTAGTTGGTTCTGAAATGCTGCTGTATTTGCTAATTGTGGTGATTTGAAAGAAAATGGCCTCCAAGCCTGGCGTTGGTGGCACATGCCTTTAATCTCAGCACTCCGGAGGCAGAGGCAGGAGGATCTCTATGAGTTGGAGGCCAGCCTGATCTACAGAGGGAGTTCCAGGACAGCCTCCAAAGCTACACAGAGAAACCAGTCTCAAAAACAAAACAGAACAAAACAAAAATACAAAAAGAAGAAAGAAAATGGCCTCCAAAGAGTGTGGCACTCTTAGGAGGTGTATATTTTTTAAGTAGGTGTGGCCTTGTTGAAGAAAGTTTGTTGCTGTGGGGGTGAGCTTTGAGGTCTTCTATGCTTAAGATACTACCCGTGTCTCGACCACTTCCTGTTTCCTGTTGGTCAAAATGTAGGACTCTCAACTCCTGTTCCAACACCATATTTTTGCCTGCACGCCACCATGTTGTACCATGATAATTGACTAAACTTCTGAAAATGTAAGCCATCCCAATTAAATGCTTTTCCTTTATAAGAGTGCTGTGGTTGTGGTATCTCTTTACAGCAATAGAAACCCTAAGACACTAATTGATTTTTGAATTTTTATTTCCTTTTTGATTCTTTTCCCGATAGTAGTGTAAGATAATAATGGGTCTTAGCATGTATTTATGAGTCACTCACACTGTATTCCATCATAGAATATTAATGATCTACTGATGATGGACATCAGCCAGCCCAGAAACAGACTTGAGCTGTGGTGAAACGAGCTTATTTTTATCCAAAGCAGGTAATATTAGAGCAACTAAAGGAAGCCATGAGCTGGGGGAGACATGATCTCCAGAGCCCACTGGTCAGCCAATGTAATAGAAGCAGTGAAGAGACCTTGTCTTAAAAAGATAGGTGGAGAGAAGTAGAGGAAGATAACCAATGTCAACCGCTGGTCTTCACCCACATGGGTGTACTCTCCAGGAACATACACAAATACAAAACACATGGAAGGCTGAACCTCATCCACAATTTAAAAAAATGAAATAGTTGCTCTGTACTATTTCACTTTTTTGGAAACATCACACAGGTCATTGAACTTTTGGATGGGATTCAAACCTGGGAACTTGCTCTCTCTTGTGAACAGATAAGTCAAGCCAGTGAGAGATTGGCTGATGTGCCTTACACAACAGAGAAATGGAATTCTGCCTTCAAAAGTCAGACCAAAAATCAACACAGATTTACAATTATATTCTCAAAAGGATATTGGAGTTGGAAATGAAGTATTTCAAGAGGAGAACCTTGATGAGCTTCAGTTTTATTTTATGCTTGTGCTTTTGATAGTAAGTACTATAGATTCTTAAGTGTGTTGACCAACACATTCACTTAATAATACACTTCCATAACTATCAGATATTCTTCAGGGATTATTGGGTATTTTGTTTTGCTTTGCTTGGTACAGAAACTGAAATGTAGTGTTTTTCTATTCTGTTAAATTAATTGTAAAATGTAAGTCCTAAAATGCTGCTGGAGTTCTTCCAGGAAGCAAGTTTAGGTCCTTGTCTGTGTACGTTATTTAGGCTGTGGAAAGTGTTGCAGATATATTGATTTATGAAACAGGCTTATCCATTTGGTTATAAGCTTATCTGTAAGGTTACTTACTGTGTGATCACTGGCAAATGTTTCTGTATTCTGACTAGCAACATAGCTCAAAACAAATGAGAAAAAAAAAAAAAAAAAAGGAAGAAAAAGAAAAGAGCTCACAGGAAAAGGAAAGTGTTTAATATTTCAATACTTTTTTTGAACAAATTATAAAACACTTATACAGTGTAGTGTTACATTTTGTTGTGTTACAGAAGAATCCCATTCTGATTTTCTATACAGACCATGTTCTTATATTGCTAGATCTGTTCACTGGCAAACTGGTCACTCATGTTAGTAATGTTTCTTCCTTTTAACTAATGCAGGGTTATGACCTTAATCACTCTTTTAAACTAGCTTTTCTTGTTAGGTTGAGGAAGGTCAAACCACAGATGAACTGAGTACCTGAGATGACAGCAATCAATTTGAAGGCAGAGAAGTATCAAATTAGAACTTTATATTATCAATCACTGTCATAAATTGGTACTTTTAGTTAGTACTATGATTTGTATAACTTTTACATATGCTTGAAGAATAACAAAAGCTAAAGAACATTGTACAACTGGGTAACTGTCCCATTTTGACAGTGTCTTGCATTTAGTTTGACATTTTGTAGCCAATGATTCCAGGTTGCTTTAGTTGAGCCATGTCATTCTTCACTTCCTGTAAACCACTCCATAGCTTTGTCTTTCTTCATAAAATTAATTTTCTTTTCTTTGTTTGATCGATGGTCATTGGCTACTGAAATAAAATATGCATTTTAAGGTAAATTGTATGTATTTAAGACAAAATTTTATATATTTTAATACTTTTAGACTTTTTGAGACTCGATCTGGGAGTGGTATTATGCTACTAATGATTTGTGGAGAGGAGGCAGGAGGATCAAACTACAAGAAGCTGTATCTCAAAAGGGGGGTGTGATAGAACAACAACAAAAAGATTGAAATAGGATTTCATCATGTAACCTAGCCTAGCCTTGAACTTTTGATATTCCTGCCTCAGCCTCCTAAGTGCCTGAGTTAGCACATATTTTATTACTTTTACTTATTTACTTTTTTTCTAAGTTTTCAAGACACGTTTTCTCTGTGTAGCCTCCACTGTCCTGAACTCACTCTGTAGGCCAGTCTGGCCTGGAACTCAGAGATTGAACTGCCTTTGACTCCCAAGTACTGCGATTAAAGGCCCTAGTATATACTTTTATTGCTTGTATGGAACTTTAAAGTAAAATGAGCCAAGCAGTGGTGATACCCACTTTTAATCCCAGCACTTGGGAGGCAGGGGCAGGTGGATCTCTGTGAGTTTAAGGCCAACCTGATCTACAGAGTGAGTTTCAGGACAACTAGGGCTTGTTACACAGAGAAACCCTGTCAGGGGGAAAAAAAAAAAAAGAAAAAGGAAAAAAAAAAAAAACCTGGATGCAGGGGTGGACATCTGTAATCCCAACACTCCTGTAGCAATACGGGAGGTGTAGACAGCAGATTCACCTGTGAGCTTGAGGCTGGTCAGCTGGCCTGAAGTGCCTGGTACAGCAGCAAAAACAAATGAATGAGATTACCTCAATAAGTAGAAGGCAACCTCCAAAAGCCACACAGACATAAAAGGGAAGTAGGGCTGTAGGAAATAGTAGGGAAGAGCTGATGACAATGATATAACCTTTTTTTTCTTTTTGGTTTTTCAAGACAGGGTTTCTCTGTGGCTTTGGAGCCTGTCCTGGAACTCGCTCTGTAGACCAGGCTGGCCTCAAACTCACAGAGGTCCATCTGCCTCTGTCTCCCAAATGCTAAGATTAAAGGTGTGTACCACCACTGCCCCACAGAGAATGATATAATCTTAAACATTATAATAAAGGTGTAATGTTGCTTTTGGATCTTGGTATTGACACCAGGACCTTGATCCTGGCACATCTTTTCTTATTTTTTCCAGACAGGGTTTTCTGTATAGCTTTATAGACCAGGCTGGCTTCGAACTCACAGAGATCTGCTCTGCCTCCCAGTGCTGGGATTAAAGGCGTGAACCACCACCGGGCATCGCGTGCTGCTTTTTTAAATTACAACACTTAACCTATTTCATTTCAAACTAAGTGAACTTAGTTTCTGCTTAGCATATTGTGTCCAATGGATAATGAATTGAACATAATCTCTCATTATATATCCATTTTAATTTTGAATTGAATGATAAACAAATTAGCATTTGTTTTCAGATAGTTCATGAAGGCCCAGTTTAAGGCCTTTCTCCAACCTTTCTCTCTCATTATGTTTGCAATCTAGTTATGAGCCAGATGCCATCGCCGGCTCTGTGTCAGAATCTCACTCCCTATGTAGCTCAGACTAACCTTGAACTCATGATCTTCATGCCTCCAAGTACTAATGCCAACGACAAATGCTAAGGACAACTGCTAACTAATGTTAACTTTCTCCTTCTCTTTCATTTTTTGAGAAAGTGTCTTGTGTAGCTCAGGCTAGCCTCAAACTGACTATGTATCCAATGATGACCTTGAACTCCTAATCCTCTTCATAAATGCTGAGGTTTTTGGTGTGTGTCACCATGCCTAGCTATATGATAGTTTCTTTCTGTGTCTGATCCTTATGTATCATGCTCAAATCTTAAGCTATCTGGTTCAAAACTGTCTTCAGTTGCTTTCTTGAGGCCTTACTCTACCTTTCCTATGCAATAAATGGTGAGTAAGTTTGATGATATCTTTTAAGTGTACACTGGATCATGCATTGTTTCATCTATTGACTTAATTATAGTAATACATATGTGATTAAGAATTAAAGAAGACAGATATAAAAAAAAAAAACAGTGAGAAAAGAACCAGATTAGCTAGTGATTCCATATATGATAAACTGTATTTCCAAATTCCTGTCTGCTGTTCCTACTCTGTCCTTTATGTTTCCAGTTCCTGGGAAAACAGGACTCATTCAATGTCCTGTTCGTATGGTACTTGTTCTGAAAATCTTTTACCAACTTTCTCATTCTACAGAGATAAATCTGTAGTCTATTTATTATTTGTTCCTTGAAGATAGGATTCTTTGTAGCTTTGACTGGCTTAGAACCTACAGTGATTCTCCTTCAGCCTCAGAGTTTGGGTTTATAATTCTGTATATCTTATGCTCCTAAATGTTGGTCATATAGCATAGTCCTGATCACATTATTAATCCACGTGCTCTACCCTGTTTATTTTTTGGTGTTGGGCTTGAACCCAGTGTTCAGTGCCTGCCAAAATATACTTGTCCATTGAGCCTTTGTCATATATTTGTTAAGTGCAAAGATTTTAAACATAGATGTCCAGAACAGTGAATGACAATATAACAAAAAATGAAGTTCAAAAGTGGACTTCTTTTTAATAAAATTATTTGGTTATAGGTTATCTAACATAGAAAATAGTCTGTGCCGACTATAGCCAGGATTTCTGAATCTTCTTCGAATCCCCCATGACAGCGCCCCTTACCAGCAGGAAGTAGTTTGGAAAGAACGACGCCCAAATTCCCAAATATTGTGTATAAATGTTTGTTTTCATTTAATTGGACTTTGTTATAAAAAATTAAATAAAGTAAAATTAAAAAAAAGAAAAAAGAAAAAGAAACTAGTCTGTGCCTGTCCAAGCCAAAGAGAAGTCTTGGTGGATTTTTTTCCCCCTTTTGTCTTTATTTTAAAACCAGGTTTGCATATAATTCATGTCTACTTGGACTAGCCTAGATGCTTTGGGGCTTAAAGCAGCATAAAGGGTAACAGTGGTAGTTTGCTACAAAATATGGTGCACGGGGTTCGGACGTATAACTTAATGGAAGAATGTGAGTATAATATATATAATATATAAGGTCCTAGGTTCAAACACCAACACCTAAAACAAAACAAGCAAAAACAGGAAAGTGAGTCTATAGAGATGACTCAGTGGTTACAAACACTAGGCCACTCTTCTAGAGGATCTTGGTTCAATTCCTAGCACCTACATGGTTGCTTACAAACACGTTAACTCCAGTCCTAAGGGATCTTATGTCTTCTCCCAGCCTCCCTGGGCAATGTACTCATATGGTTAGGAAATATACATGCTCATATGGTTAGGAGATATACATGCAGGCAAAACACATGTACATATGATAAAATTTTTAAAATTGCATGTTTAGATAAAGCTGAATCCCATATTTCTGTTGCTGTTGCTTTAGTTGGTAATAGTGTGACTTAGATTCTGAGTTTGTTTTTTAGCAGTAAAATGAATATTAAAAAACCATTTCAAAAAAAAAGAAAACTATTTTGAAACTTCTTGAATTGGATTTTTAAATGTGATTAGTATAAAGGGTTAGTATAATATTGGTAGTAATAATAAGTCTGAATTTTTAAAGAATGCCTCACCTATCCCTTTGAAAGTGTTTTGACAGTGTTTCCCTCTACCTTGTCAAACTGACATTTTGTTTTTAAACGTCACAAGCATTTCTGTGTTAAAATTGCTTTTTGGTACATGTTACTTAAAAATCAAATAAACAACTTTAGCCATGGTATTGAACACCTTTAATCCCAGAGGCAGGTGGATCTCTGTGAGTTTGAGGCCAGTCTGATCTATGTAGTGAGTTTGGGCCACCCAGTGTTACACAATAAAACCATGTCTTAAAAAAGAAAAGGAAAAAGAGAGAGAGAGAGAGACAGGTTCACGTTCGGCACCATTTTGTTATGAGTAGTTTTCCTGCCAGCCTAGTCCCCCAGCCGTGGCAGCCCCAGTTAACACACAGAGAGACTATATTAGATATAATGCTGTTGGCCTGCTACTAGTGTTTCTCATTGGTTAGCTCTGTCTTAAATATTAACACATTTCTATTAATCTAAGTATTTCCACGTGGTCTCATCTTACCGGAGAGAGGGGCAGAGAGAGAAAAAAAGCAAGTTAGGAGGATGGAAGAAAGTTGCTTTGTTTGAAAGGTGCACTGATTACTATCTATAATAAATTGTAGCATAAAAACGTGGCACCAATATCAACTCCTTGTGTTTTTCTCGAAGAATTTTTTCGGTTTTCAAGACGGTTCCTATGTGTATTCTTAGCTGTCTTGGAACTCACTCTGTAGACCAGGTTGGCCTTGAACTCAAATCTACCTGGCTCTGCCTCTCAAGTGGTGGGATTAGAGGTGTGTGCCACCACTGTCTAGTCTGGAATGAGTTTTTCATGACTATAAACTATCAAGTGACTCTGAGCTTATGTATACTGTAGGGGGACTGACCCTACTGTAGGTAATGCTACGACTCCCTCTACATTGTATTGTTAACTTCATCCCTAATTAGTTCACTCTGTTAATCCCAGAAAATGAGTGCAGACTTCTTCAGTGTTCAAATGTATATGTGATCAATATTTCATAGCTATCCATCTGTCTGTCTAATAGCAGTCTTTGTTGTTGGTAGTGGTTTTTTATTGTTATTATTAAGTTTTATGTGTATAGGTGTTTTTGCCTTCTTGTATGTCTGTGTACCACATGTGTGTGTGGTGTCTTCCTACATGTATGTCTGTGTATCATAGGTGTGGTATCTGTAAAGGTCAGAAAAAAAGGGCATCAGGTGCCCTGGGATTGGTGTTACAGACAGTTGTGAGCCATCATGTGGGTATTGGATATCAAATGGGGTCCTTTTAACTACTAAGACATCTCACCAGTGCCCACACCCCTTTTTCTTATATTTTGAGACAGGGTTTCTCTGTATAACCCTAGCTGTCCTAGAACTTGCTCTGTAGACCAGGCTGGCCTCAAACTTACATAGTTCCCCTGCTTCTGCCTCCCAAGTGTAGATATTAAAGGCATGCAACACCACTGCCTGGCCACCTCCCCTTTTTAATGGGAAATCACTGTAGCCCAAAGTGGCTTCCAACTTTCAATCCTCCCCCCTCAATCTCCAGAAATATTTTTTCTTTATATCTCATGCCTCCTGACATTATTAAAGGCTTTTAGAGTTAACCTCAAAGTTAACCTTAAAATTCACAGCCTGATATTGGTTGGTAGTATACACTTTTTTTTTTCTTCCCTTGAGTCAGGGTTTCTCTGTATAGCTTTGTAGACCAGACTGGCCTTGAATTCAGAGATCCACTTACCTCTACCTCCCAAGTGCTGGGATTAAAGACGTACACCACACCATAGCTGCCCAGCTTGGTGGTGTACACTTTTAATCCCAGCATTCAGTTAGAGGCCAGCCTGGTCAACAGAAATAGTTCTAGGACAGACAGAGTTACACAGAGAAATTCTGTCTAGAAAACAAAATACAAAACAAAAGATCCTATATTGGTAATTTCATCAACAAACAAGTAAGCACAATTCCTTCTACCACTCCCTACCCTATTTTTGGCTATAATGTCTCAAAGACTTTAAATTTCTAAAAATTACATTTGTTCTCTCTCTCTTCCTTTCTCTGAGAACTGAACTCAGATAATCAGTTAGCAGGCTTTACCCACTGACACATCCCCTGCCCCGAGCCTTTTCAGTATAGTGACTGGCAAAGCGCCTTATTTCCTGCATGCATTCCAGTTTCCTATTAGGATGTTAAGACCTGGGGTATAGAGTATACTCCAGTGAGAGATACAGGGACTGGTCTAAAGAAAACATGGCAGTTTCTCTTCTGCTTTCTGTAGATATCTATTCACATTATTAGAATTTGCTTCCAACTCATTCCTCGAGCATTTCAGAAGGTTCTTGATATTTCCACCTCTGCTGTAGCAATCTTCTTAAATGCTTCTGCCACAGCTTATTTTCATTGCTGAAAGCGGGATTTCTTCAAAGGTCCATAGAGCATACTAAATAGGAATTCAGGTTCCATTCACAGACTGTGATTTTCAAATATTACTCTACCATCCTTGGGCAAATTACAGAAGCCTCAGTTTTTTATTTGTCAAGTGGAGATAACAATACTTAACCTTCAGTGGTATTGAAGGTTAAGTGCATTATGAATGTAAGGGGTTTTCTGTATTACCTGGGACATGTAAGTATGCAATAAGCCTTACCTATTCTAAGGATCCAAAAATGTAAAAATAAAAGAAGCATTGGAAATAGGAGAGGGATGATAAATGGTAATTCTTACTTCAGCCCACTTACTGTCAAATATGAATATGACAATAAAGAGTGTGCTTGGAGATGTTTAAGAGCAAGAAACTATACTGTCAGTAAAATTTGTTAATTAAACCCTGTGTCCAAAGAAAGGAACAGGAACTAAGGTTCAGTCTCTACTTTCAAAGGACTAGAGTTTAGTTTCCTCTTCAGTAAAGCTTCAGTAGTCATTGTCCTCATAAGAATATGGTAAAAATAAACCAGTAAAATTCTAAAATTGTGTGTGTCTGGCTTTGTTTTTTCATGATATTTAGAAGGGACTACTTTCAAAAGGAAATCTTTCAAATGAGAGAAATCTGTAAGAAGTAAACAGTATCCTATTATAGAGTATTATTCCAGTACTGTTTCAAATCTGGAAAAGAAATCTCAGGGAAATGCTATGTATAAACATAATTTGAAAGTTATGATATAGTTGTATTTCTGGTTAATACAATTATTTTCTAGTTAGTAATATTGTTCTAAGTAAACATTTAGATCTCAACAAAAATGAAATATGCAAATAAATTATATGACACATCACAATTAAGACTAAATAACATGGGAAAATTATTTATATTAATCAAATAAAAAGCTAGCCTGGCTAAAATATGGTCTAATTTTGTTAGAAATAGGAAAGTATATAGAAGAAACCAATAGTTGGATGGTGATTACAAGTAAATTTATTTTCTTCTTGAAATAATTTTTAAATAAAACATACATTTCATAGAAACCCTTCAAGCCCTAATACTTGGAGCTCACAGTGTACTGAGTTTCAGCTTAAGATATGTTAAAATACTTTTAGTGTTTATAGGGTACCACAAAACAGTTATAGACAGAAAATAAAAAGTGGTAACTCAAAGAGGGAAAACGTTAAATATTAATTTAACTCAGTTATGAAACGTATGCATCCCTGCCTAAAAGGTGTGAATGGATAAATATACAATAGTTTAATTCTACTTTACCATTAAATCATACCTTGTGAATAGCTATTAGCTTGAGAAGATTTACCTATCATGTCCATTGATAATGAATTGTGTAATTCCTGAGAATTTTTTTCCATTAGCTCTACTGTGTCACTGGATGACGATGACGATGAAGACAGTCCCAATCTCACATATCTTCCTTTTTTACCACACAGTAAACAATCTACTGGTGTGGCACTAGGACCCCGGGGCAGATGAACTTCATCTCTGTTGTAGTTCCTAACAGCTCCACTGTGATGCACAGAGCGCTCTCGTTGCCAGATGTAATGGGTTGGTGCAATGGCCATAACCTATAGTGAAATGGTTACTTTGTGAATTTAATAAAATTTTAAATTGAGTAAAGTATAGAAATTGTACTTCATGAGCAAGTTTTTCTAAAGCTGAGATTAAAAAAAAAAAAAAGAAAAGAAAGGGGAAAAAGACAGTTGTGGATCTGGACAGTGGTGGCACACACCTTTAATCCCAGCACTCAGGAGGCAGAGGCAGGCAGATCTCTGTGAGTTTAAGGCCAGCCTGGTCTACAGAGCAAGTTCCAGGACAGTCAAACTGTCTCAAAAAACAAACAATAAAAACACTCAAGTTACCAAGTTTAAAATATCTACAGTAGTATTTCTGTAGAGTGATTGCTTGGATCTTTAATATTATAATTAACAAAGTATCAAGAAGATAATAAAAATTAAGAAACTTTTAAAGTTGCTATTTATTTATTTAGTCAGTTTTTTTGAGGCAGGGTCTCTTTGTGTAGGGTCTTTCAAACTTAGAGATCTGCCAGTCTTTGCCTCCTGAGTACCAGGGAAAGGTATTTATTTTTAAAATTCTGAATATTTCTAAGTTTATAAAAGATAATATAACTCATCTAAAACATTACATAATTCTTAATTTTTGAGTGTTAGGTTAAAATATTAGGCTCCTACCTATGTTTGTTAACTAATTTTTAAATAATTGCAGTTATATCAAGGGATATGGTAAAAAACAAAACATGTAAGTTATCTGTTCCTTGATTTCCTTATTTGTTACACAGTGATAAGAGTATATTTTTAGAAGGTGGTGAGGAGAGGATGCATTTTATAAAACACTTAAGACCTCACTATCAGGTGTTGTCATAAGGTTTGTTAAATAAAGCATGGACTTTAGTTGTGGACTTTCCATCTTGTCCTGGCTCTACCACTTGCTGACTATATGCAAGTTACTTAACCTTTCTGAAATTCAGTTACTTCACTGATAAAATGGGAATGCTGACAACCCCAAAGATTGTCAGCATATTATTATGCTGACCTCATGAAATTCAAAACATCAATGAGTTTTAAGTCAACTTTTAACTTCAGTTATCAATGATCCACAATTAAGTGAGAATTACAATAATCCTAAAATGAGAGCCAGACAAAGCCATACTAGTTGCCTAAACTAGTGATTTTTCTAAATTCTCAAAGCTATATTGGGGTCCTAGGAAGGACAAGGAAAGGCAGTAGCAGAGAAGCTCAATGGTTTTTTGTTTGTTTGTTTGTTTGTTTGTTTGTTTTGTTTTTTGAGACAGGGTTTCTCTGTGTAGCTTTGAAGACTGTCCTGGAACTAGCTCTTGTAGACTAGGCTGGTCTCGAACTCACAGAGATCCACCTGCCTCTGCCTCCTGAGTGCTGGTATTAAAGGCATGCGCCACCAATGCCTGGCTAAGGAGCTCAGTGTTATGGGTGTATGTACAAGGTTTACAATTTTGTTTGATGAGAAAAGACTCTTGTTAGGAAAATAATATACTACTAGATTAGTCTGTTCAGCAAATGGTAGTGGTGTGACCTTACCAAGCAAGTGCTGTACCACAAATATCCATACAAGTTTCTTAAGTCTTATGTGTGTATTTATATACACATATATAGATGAGATATAATAAATCCATAAACTAATAAATATGCATACAAAGATATATACACATATATGTATGTACACATGAAGATGATGGAGAGAAGAGAGACTATGATTCATATAACTCAGGGTGACTTTGAACTCAGTATATGGCTAAGGATGACCTTATCCTTGAATTTCTGGTCTTCCTGTCCACCTCCTAAGTGCTGGCTTTACAGGTGTATACATTCATGCCTTACTTATGTGGTGCTAGAGATAAAACCCAGGGCACTGGGCATGCTAGATAGGCACTCTACCAATTGAGCTACACATTTCTACATTTTAAGTATACTTTAAGATTCAATTTGTTCTTCGTTCTTACTTCTTTAGAACCTTGAGCAAATTAGCTAACTTTCTAGGTTCTGGAGTATCTTTCATATGCAACTGTCAATGCTAAGTCAGATTCCATGAAAGAGAATTCTCTGAAACACTGGTAGCAGTTGACCTATTAAAACAATTTCCTCCTTTTAAAAAACTTTATCATTAGGGATATTTTGTTTGGGTGCCTTTGGTTAAAATGAAGATTGGGTGGTGTTTTGATCCCAAGAGGGGCTATCGGTAAGTGTGAAAAGCACTGGCCCTGCAGTTACATTGCCTGTGTTTCAGCACTGACACACTGCAGTACTAATTGTGTGTCCTTAGAGAAGTTACGTGCCCTCTCTGTGCTTTATCAGTCCCTTCACCTGGTATTACCTCCCTGAGAGGTAATTTGAGTGATTAGAGCCATGCCTGACAGGCTCTCAAAGACTTCAAGGGTTGTTTTCACCTTGAATCTTTATACTGAATGACAAGGCCATTTTCATGCAAGTATGTAATGTACTTTAAGCGTATTTCCCCATCACCCTACACCTTGCTACCCTCACTCTTTTTGTTCCTTGCCTTCCCTATTATTTCTCTTTATGCTTTTGTTGCTTTTACTTTCTTTGTAAATTTTATTTTATTTATTATTATTCTTATTTGAGACAGTATGGAGGCCAGGCTTGGCCTCAAAGTCACAGAGAGCCGCCTGCCTCTGCCTCCCAGGTGCTGGCATTAAAGTTGTGCATCGCTGTGCCCAGCCATACTTTCATGTCAGCTATACATACATGTTTTGGTGTATCTCTATAAAAGTCTAAGGTGCACAAAAGAGACAGAAATGTGGTATTTGTGTTTTTTGAGGTCTTCAGAGTTGTAAGACAAGAAAGGACAATAAAAAAGTTAGAAATGTGAAAAGAAGTCAAAGTATCCTTATTTTTGATGATGTGATTTCATCATAATGTCCACAATCCCAAGATTCCAATAGAAAACCCTTAGATCTGATAAACACTTTCATTAAAGTGGCAATATAAATAAAACAAGCATACAAAAATCATTAGTCTTCCTATATACCAATAACAGAATGTTGAGCAAAAAACCAGAAAGACAATCTTATTCACAACTTCCTCAAAAAAAGACAAACAAAAAACCAAACCTTGGAATAAAATAAACTTAACCAAGGAAATAAAAGACCTCTACAATGAAAATGTATTACTAAGCTTTAAGCATCATTTATATGTGCTCCATAGCTATTACCCAGTTATCACCCTAAATTCCTATGTTTAAATGCCAAATTCATTTAGCTTTCCAATAAACCAGTTTGATTCTCTTTCCTTTTTTTTTCTACATTATAGAACCCCACATTCTTCCATATAGATCTGAAACCCAAAACTTCCTTTCCTACATATGCTATATAGCCAACTTATTACTAAGTCATGAAAATTGTAATTTTGTAACATTTCTAACACTGGCTTCACTTCCAGAGCACTGCTAACTAGTTCCTAACTATAACAAGTTTAGCTCTTCCCAGCACATTCGAATAGAGGGTCTTTTGCATACCATCATTGGTTTATTCTGCCCAATACTATTGCTCCCTAAATTACTAATCTGAAATCAAGTAGTAGCTAACAGAAGTTAGCTGTGATACTGTAGCAACTACACCAGAGTACATAAAGCAGCATAAACAAAAGCTTCCCCTCCAATCAACTGCCACCCTCTGATACATGAAAGGCACTAGGATGGAATCTCTCTCAGTGGATAGGCACCCTCTCTAATCTGTGAACCAGTCTAGAAATTAAGCCATCTTCAATGTAAATTAATTTTACTTCAAAGGAACTACGTCTAAAAAGAAGCCAAGATCAAAATTGGTAGGGAGCTAGTCTTCATTCTTTCTGGAAAAGCCATTTATTTATACACACATGTGTATTTGTATGTATATGTACATATAGATTGTATTTTTATTTGCATATAATTATAGTTCACTTCAAGTATGTAAGAGAGATGAACACAAAATTGGGGGGAGGGGTGCTGGAGAGATGGCTCAGCTGTTAAGAGCACTTGTTGCTCCTGCAGAGGACCTGGGTTGGGTTCCTAGCATACACATGGTGGCTCACAACTATCTGTATCTCAGTTCCAGAGGCTCTAATGTTCTCTTCTGATATGGGCACCAGGCACACACATGCAAATAAAACACCCATATGCATAAAATAAATCTAAAAAAATTAAACAAACAAAAAGAATTCACTAAATTGGATGCAAATGCAAAATTGAACTGAAGTGAGAAAAAGCACACAAGAGTAACAAAATGCAATGCAGTTAATACAGTTATAGATAATAGCTTTGCAAATGTGGCTTTAAAAAGAAAAAGGGGCTGGGTATGGTGGTACACACCTTTAATCCCAGCAGTCAGGAGGCAAAGACAGGCAGATCTCTGTGAGGTCAGAGACATTTACATAGTAAATTCCCGAACAACCACAACCAGGGCTATGTAGAGAGAACCTACCTCAAAAAAAAAAAAAAAAAAAAAAAAAAAAAGAAGAAGAAAGGAAAACAAATCATAATTTAACTACACCTTTTCATCTGAGAAATGGGAAAATAGGAAGGGCAGTTATGCTTCTTAGTTCTGGGTACAGATGAATTTACCACTGAGAAGTTTTTATGGCAACTATATGCCATAGAGAAAACAGAACAATGGAAAGTCATTACATACACCCTCTAGATCCTTATGTTAAAGTCTTTTAGGAAATATTTTAATTTTTATGTGTATCTGCACATGCTCATGCCTGCAGGCACCAGAAGAGTGTGTCAGATCCCTAGGAGTTAAGAGTTGCAGGTGGCTGTGAGCTTCCAGATATGGGTGCCAGGAACTGAACTCTGGTCCTCTGGATGACTACAATTGTTCTAACTGCTTAGCTATCTCTCCAGTCCCTCTAAGACAACATCTTACGAATGAACAAGATCACTTTCTAATAGTTCAAAAGACTGAGCTCTTCGGCATCTTAATAAACCCATGAGGTGAAAGGGAACTGACAAAATCAGTGGAAAAGCCTTCAACCTCAATATTCAGAAACCACAGGGAGATAGTGTATCAGAGAAACAAGTGTGTCAAATACTGCCGCTAAACTGAGGGCTAAAACTGACCTATGCTTTGGCAGCATAAAGCTATCATAAGGTTTGACAAAGTTCTGCTGAACTAAAGAGGAAAAGCTTTATATAATAGTTTCAAAGAGAATGGAAGATAACAGAATAGAAGCAGAGTAGTATATACTTGGAAAAAATTACAATGAATTTTTCTCTGTATAACTTTGGAGCCTGTCCTGCAACTTACTCTGTAGACTAGGCTGGCCTCTACTTGCAGAGATCTGCCAGCCTCTGCCTCCAGAATGCTGGGATTAAAGGCATGCATCACCAACACCTGGCCTTCCTCTGTTATTTCTAAATCCTTGCATGTGTACTAGGACTGGGCAGTGGTGGTGTATGCCTTTACTCTCAGCCTGGTCTACAAATCGAGTTCCAGGACAGTCAGGACTGTTACACAAAGAAACCCTGTCTCCACAAAACTAAAATCAAACTAACGACAACAAAAAAAACCTTATTTGTAAATAGAACAATTTATCTTAATAAAATATAACAGTAAGAAAACAATGTGCTGAGCATGGTGATGTATACCTTTAGTCCCATCTCCTAGGAGACAAAGGCAGAGTGATCTCTGTGAACTAGCTTAGTCTACATAGAGAGTTCCAGGATAATTAGGGATATATATATATATATATATATATATATATATATATATATATATACATACACAGAGAGAGAGAGAGAGAGAGAACTTGTCTCAAATGAAATTTAAGAAAAAAATTTAAATAAAAAATGTTTTCTTTGTGAAAAAAGGTATGGGTTTTAAATGTATTTAAATTTACTTAAATTATATACCATGCTGTTGGTCTCAATGTTAGAAACTTGAAAATCCATATACTTTAGTGGAAATTATTATTCAACTCTAGTTTCTTAATTTTATAATAGTATTAAATAAGATGCTTTAATATGTCCGCAAACCCTATGCTAGCATACTGGTGATCTTTCAGACAGGAGGAAGACACTGTAATAAGAATAGTACAGAAGTAGTCTGCTCTGAAAGTAAAAAGTATTTTTAAATCCTTACCTCTTCACAGCACCGCCTGCTCACAATAGCCCTATAGTCAATTCTGTCCCAGAGTTGGTCCCTTAACTTTAAGAAATTAGGAAACAATTTTCTCCAGTTTTTCCCTAAAGCCCATGGAAAAATTTCATACTTGGCTTCTTCTTCATCTTCTTCAACTGTATTAGCCAGGTACCTAACAAAGAGGATCAACAACCCAAGAAAGAAATGAGTAAGGACAAGAACAACAGATTTTTAAAAAAGATACACAAATGGCTTCACACATAACAGATGTTAATATCTAAAATACATAATAAAATGGTTGCACTGTGAGCCACTCTTTCTGTCTTTCTTTGGGCTATCTTCAGATAGCTCCTTGCCAAATACTTGAGGAGAACCAGGCATACAACAAAGCAGAAAAACAAAAACCATGATAAAGAGCATAACTAATCAATCAAAACCAACCTGAAACTGATTTATGAGCCAGGTGGTAGTGGTACATGCCTTTAATGCCAGTAATCAGGAGGCAGAGGCAGGCAGATCTTTGAGTTCAAGGCCAGCCTGGTCTACAGAGTGAGTTTCAGGACAGGCTCCAAAGCTACACAGAGAAACCCAGTCTCGAAAAACAAAACAAAAACTTCCCAAAACAAACATAAAAACATCTACAACTATTCTATATGCTCAAAAAGGAGATATGTCAAAACTGTGCTTCTGGAGATGGAAACAACAATGTGTAGGATGAAAAATACTGAACTAGATTAATGGAAGATTGAGTACTGAAGAAGAGATTTGTCAATTGAAAGTACAGTAATAGAATCTACCCAAACTGGAACATAAAGACAAAAATTAAAAATCAGAAACAGAATATTAAATGTGTGAAAACTTCAGGAAGTGAATTCAAAGTGAACTTGGAATCTGAAAAGTAGCAGGTAATAAAAAAATATTGATGAAGTAGATTAATTTTTTCAGAGTTTGAAGAAAATGGGACAAGGGTTATAATATAGCTCTTACCATGTTCACACAGCATGCAGGAGGCCCTGGACTTGGTCCCAGTACTGCATAAATAAGTATGTGGCATACACCTATAACAACCCTTGGGAGGTAGAGGTAAAGAGATCAGGAGTTCAAGGACATCCTTAGCTATATAGAAAGCTTTGGTCCAACCTGGACTACAGGAGGCCCTTTATAAAAATTTGACAAAAACTATAAATCTACAGCCAATTGATGATGGCATGCCTTTAATCCCAGCACTTGGAAGGCAGAGGCAGGCAGAGGTCTCGAAGTCCAAGGCCAGCCTAGTCTACAAAACAAATTCCAGGATGCCAGGGCTACATACACAAAAATGCTGTCTTGAAAAAGCAAAAAGAAAACAACAACCACCCCACAAACCACCAACAATAACAAAATCCCCAAATCAAACCTAAACAAACAAACAAACAAAAAAAAAAAAACCCTACAAATCTACAAAAAAAGTTCAGTGAATAAGAAGCAAGAATTCACAAGGAAATTATACCCTGGTACATCCTAGCTAAATTGTTCAAAGGCAATGATAAAAATCTTAAAAAGCAATCAGACCAAAAAAAAAAAAAAAAAAAAAAAGACACATTAAGCTAGTGTGTTGGTACATACATGCAATCCTAATACTTGAAAGATTGAGGCAGAATAATCAGGAATTCAAAGCTACATAGTAACTCTGAGTCTAGCCTGGGCTACAATGAGACCCTGTTCCAAAAAAAGAGAGTGAGAAAGAAAGAAAGAAAGAAAGAAAGAAAGGAAGGAAGGAAGGAAGGAAGGAAGGAAAGAAGGAGGAAGATAGAGGAAGAAAGAAAGAAAGAAAAATAGAAAGAAAAAAAGGAAGGAAGGAAGGAAGGAAAAGAAGAAAAGAAAGGCAAGAAATGAATACAGGAATAAAGTTAAGGATGGGCCACATTTCCAGTCAGAAGCAATGCAGGCTCCATAGGTTACTTTAATAACAAAACACACAAGGAAGCAAAACACCATGAGCAGAAGCAAATCCCAAATCAAGACAGATAATAAAACAACTGTTTAGGAGCTGGAGAGGCTCTTACAAAGGACCCGGCTTCAGTTCCCAGCATCTGTAATCTCAGCATTTAAAAGGCAAAGGCAGGGAGGAGGATCAGTACAGATCACATAGGGAATTTGGAGCCAGCCTAGATGACAAATACCTTGTCTCAGGAGATTTTAAAAAAAAATAAGAAAAGAAGCTGGGCGGTGGTGGCTCACGCCTTCAATCCCAGCACTTGGGAGGCAGAGGCAGACAGATCTCTGTGAGTTCAAGACCATAGCTAGTTCCAGGACAGCCTGAAATTCAGGGTGTTACAAGAATATTGTAAGGAAACATTACATGACTACATAGAAAAATATGAGCTTTAGAACAGTGGCTAACAAAAAATGCTTAATGAAAAGAAATACCAAGTTATCCCATAGAAAACATATGATCAGACACAGGATGGAAATTATAATTCACACTGTTTAAAATATAATATAATCTGGAGTGAAATCTTAAAGATTACCTCCCAGTAGAAGTTAAATAGCACTTTAATGGCTATAGCCACAAAACAAGTGAAACAAATTCAATTTCAGGTTTCTACCTGGATTGGCACTAAAGCCATTTTTGGTTTAATTGTCAGGTGAAGAAAACTACAGCATGTATGTAATATTGAGTAAAAATATAATACTGAAACATGTAAATGGCAACTTAGTATTGTGAAAGCTGAATCTGCTCTTGGAAATGTCATACATGAATTTGCACCTCAGCAACTCTGTTCTTTTTATTTTTTCTGTTTTATCCCCGGCTGCCCTGAAACTCACGATCCTGCTGCTTTAGCTTCCTAAATGTTGGGAGTATATACAACACTGACCTCCTAACTACTGTGATCTTGCAAAGTGCTTTAATTTCTAAATTCTGTTTCCATGTCTGTAAATCAGGAATAAGAAATGCATTTCATTTAACCCCAGCAGAGGCAGGTGGATCTCTGTGAGTTCGAGGCTGGCCTGATTTACAAAGTGAGCCCTAGGACAGCCAGGGAAATCTTGTCTGGAAAAACAAAAACAAACAACAACAAAAGAAACACATTTCATAAGAAAACTAGAGGTATAAATGTATAAGATGTGGCGACTGACACATAATACACAGTATTAGCTGTTACCATTAAATTCTTCCAGTTTAACAATCATCACCAAATGTTAAATTCAGCTTTTTTCCTATGCTCTGGACAAATGTCCCTCTAAAGCATGGTAAGGCTCCTCTGGTCTGATTTCTTTAAAAACCCTGATTCTAAGTTGACTTTGAGTAAAAACTTATTCCTCAGTGCTGACTGCTATACTTCAATTTCTTCTTTTTTAAATGTGTTTGAGTGTTTTGTTGCCTGAGAGCCATGAGTGTGCCTACAGCCGAGATGCCAAAAGAGGGCATCAGATTCCCTGGAACTGGAGTTATAGGTGGTTGTTCTGGGAAGTAGAACCTGGTCCTCTAGAAGAGCAGTTATCTTAAACCACTGAACCAATCCCACCAGCCCCCAATACTGCCATGTTTTTGTATACAGTTCCTAGTTTAACAATTGAAATAATGAGCATACATTCTAGCTGCATGGTTGTATCCACATATAGGGTAGAAAAAAAATATCATTTGTCTTTCTTTAGAGTGGGGGAAGGGTTGCTAATAATTGAAGCCAAGGCTTCATGCAAACTAGGGAAACTCCACTTCCTCCAACACAACTTCCAAAATGTATTCTCCTTTTTTATCTGTTTGTTTTGAGACAGGTTTCTCTGTGTAACAGCCCCGGATGTCCTGGAACCAAAGTGTATTCTTAAATTTAACCTTTCCCCTTTATTCTAAAACAGTGCTGAGGACTGATGCCAGGGTTTGTGCATGCCAGGCAAGTAGTCAACCACTAAATTCTACCCAAACTAAATTATGACCTATAAATTGGAAGATCACGTCATTAAAATAACAGATAACAAAGCTATCATTAATCAATGTGACATCGACAGAAAATCTGGAGAATAAACAATATCCAGTGTTTGATAATACCATCAGTGAAAACAAAAGTATTAAATATGAATAATTCTACCTTTTAGATACAGATCTACAAATAACATATCCAAACCTGGCAGTGGTGGTGCATGCCTTTACCAGCACTTGGAAGGCAGAGGCAGGTGGATCCCTGTGAATTTACCTGGTCTACAGAGTGAGTTCCAGTACAGCAAGAGCTCAAAAAGTCAAAACAAACAGGAGAAGGAGGAAGAGGAGAAGGAAAAAGAGAAGGAGAAGGAGGAGAAGATACCCAAAACATTTTTCACATAACATATTAACTGGCATTATCTTCTTTTTAAAAAATATAAATAGCTGAGTGTGGTGGCACACATCTTTAATCTCAGCACTCAGGGGGCAGAGGCAGGTAGATCTCAGTGATTTCAAAGTCAGCCTGGACTACACATAGTGAGTTCCAGGATAGCCAGGGCCACATAAAGAGACCCTGTCTCAAAAAAACAAACAAACAAACAAACAAACAAACCAAACAAACAAACAAAAAAACCAGTGTTTAAGCTGGGCAGTAGTAATGAAACCCTTTAATACCAGCATTTGGGAGATAGGGGCTGGTGGATCTCTGTGAGTTTAAGGCCAGCCTGGTCTACAAAGCTAGTCCCAGGCTGTTACACAAAGAAACCCTATTTCTAATAAATAAAAAATAAACAAACCAAAACCCCAAAAACAACAGTAACCGCAACAAACCAGTAAGGAAGGAAGAGAAGGAGAATTGGGGAAATATATATGAGAGCAATGTGAAAAATGTAAAAGATAATAATACAACCTGAAGTGGGATACTAACAGTACATCTCTGGCATGTAATGTAAGACCAGGGCAAAGAACATAAAACTATCCTAATAAAATATATGTAATTTTCATACACAAGAAGGCTTATTAACAATATCCATAAAATGTAATGTTTCTGCTTTAAATTACAAATCACATATATTGTAAATAACGAATAAAATTCATTTAATAGAAAGCATACTTACAGAGCAATAAAGAAATTTATCCTGGTATGCTCATTTATAGTAAATTTAGCTCTCTTGAAATAAACAAAGGTCATAGCCAAAAGATACTATAAAGAAAAGTTAGAAATTAATATTAATGGTTTGTTTTCAGTAATACAACTGCTATAAAAATAGTTGACTTTAAACCTTAAAAACATTATTAATCTTGATATAATCACCAGAGCACTTATTTTTTCTCTCCTGTAATTAATTCACTTGAAAAACGTAGAGTTGCTGATAATTTATTATATTTAGTTAGGTGGATTTCTAAGTTTTATTATAGCTGATGCATTCTAATATTAAAACTATTTTTTCAATTTAAATTTCAAACTTATAGAAATTGAAATATTTCAACGAGTAACCAAATATCTTTTACTTAGATTCACCAATAGTTATTTTTAAAAATAATGTTTAAGAATGGCTTCTAAATAACTTCAGAAATTGGGATAGCAAAGCTTAGTTTTCATTGAGAAAATTAAATGTGTTATTACAAAGATAAACAATTATCCTATTAGAATGTATGCCAAGATCTAATGGTTCAAATTTGAAACAAGTTAAAATATGAATATTTTCTCTCTCATACTTATTGAGCACTGTACAAGAAGACGATTCTAAGTGTTCCTTTCCTTTCCAAGTAAAGGATTCTGGAAATAATGTCAAGTATTCTGGGTTAGTTACTTTTCAAACACTGCCCCCTGCTGTTCATCAGCATTAGAGCATTTAAACGGTACTGTTCACCACAACTCTAAAAGAAACAGCATTTGGGCATATCATTACTGTTTTCTTGAAAACTGACACTGTGATTGTTTTAAAGATTTCATTTTTTAGAGACACATTCTATTTTTATACTTATTTTTATATATTTATGTATGTGTGTCATGTGTTGGGCCACCACCCAGGTGTGGAGATCATAGAAGAACAAATTATGGAAGTCCATTCCATTCTCTCTTCTACCATGTGACTCTGGGAATCAACACAGTCACCAGGCTAGCATCAGGCACCTTTAGCAGCTGATGTAGTATGTATGTATCCTGCCAGCCTCATATTATCAAATGTTTATGATAAAATGTTAGCATGCCTCAGATTTACCTCAAAATAATTTACATTCCTGGAAAGAAGGGTTAGAAGGAATAAGAGTGGCCATGTTAATGATGACTGTACTTTTAAGAGCCACATGGAAGGTCTTTGTCTTTAAGTTGTGTGTGCTTTAGTTTTTCTAAATCAGTCTCCAAAGACTGCAAAGATGCTCCAGCCATTAATTAACAATGCTGTCTATTTTTCCAGAGGACCCAGAGTTTGATTCCTAGCACCCACGTGGAGGCTCACAACTGTGTGTAACTCCAGGTCTTGGGGATCTGACATCCTTTTCTGATCTTCAAAGATACCAGGCATACAAGTGATGCACAGACATTCATAAAAGCCAAACACCCAAAATACATAGAATTGAAGTTTAAAAAACTTTTCCAAATTTTTTATTTTAAAAAATATTTTAGTTTTTAATGTGTGTGTGTGTGTGTGTGTGTGTGTGTGTGTGTGTGTGTGTGCGCACACTCACGCACCCTCCAGGAGATGGAGTTACAGGTAGGTGTAAGCAGCCAGATGTGGATCCTCTGGAAAAGTAACTGCTAAGCCATTTTTCCAGGCCCACAAGTCATTTGTTCTATAGAATAATCTTCAATTTTCATTTGTCTAATGTTTCTCAAAGTATGTGAAAGGTGCCGATCTATGGTTGTTATCCATCCGTGAGGAAGCCAACATGGAGTAAGAGGTTATATATGCTATTAGAAATTACATTATTAAAAAAAAAGCTGGTGGGTGGTGGTGGCACACGCCTTTAATCCCAGCACTCAGGGGACAGAGGTGGATCTTTGTGAGTTAGAGACCAGCCTGGTCTACAAGAGCCAGTTCCAGGACAGCCTCCAAAGCTACAGGGAAACCCTGTCTTGAAAAAACCACACACACACACACACACACACACACACACTTATATATAATAATTTAATGCCTGTTGAATTATAGTAATAAAATTGATTAGAATTATAATTGGAATTTTTGGTGTGAATTACTTATAAAACATTCAAACTTAGAGAAGATTGCCTTAATGGAGTGAGTCTCAAGATCTTTTTCTCCATACCAACTAAGGGTAATAATTCTACCCAAAATGTATTGAACCCTAGTGATATATGTCTATACTCCTAGCTCTTAGGAAGCTGAGGTAAGGGGATTGTTTATTTATGAGTTTGAAGTCAGGCTGAGCCACCCCCCACCTCCTACCCCTGCCACCAAAGTATTGAGCCTATATTCTTGATCCTAAATAGATTTGGTAAGAATTCTGCTTTGGGAGCCAGTGAGATGGTTCAATGGGTAAAGGCTGTCATAGTGGAAGAGAGAAACAACTCTGTAAATTGCCTTCTGACCTCCACATATTGGCTATGACATACATGTTGTAATACACACACACACACACACACACACACACACACACAGAGACACACAGAGAGAGAGAGACACACACACAAGATAAATATAACAAAAGAATTCTTCTCTGAAGGAAAAATGTAGGCTAGCTGTTTTTCTAATCTAATGAAGGACAAAATTCTTATTGGGTATCATAAAAATTTTAATGCTCTAGTAACAGAACAATGACGGTTAATGATTATTCTGTTTCTAGTTTACCTTGTCTGCAATTTTACAGCAGCAGTCCATCCACAAGAAATCTTGAATTAAGTCATCATCTACAAGAAAAGATAACTATGACTCATCTTTTTTAAAATGTTTCTTTCTGGAAAATAATTTCTATATTGCGACATTTTAAAGTGGTATTGAGAAATTTAAAAAAATAGTTGCTAAGGTTTAGTTGTCAGTTTTTTAGTATATTTGTTATTGCAAGAGCTATCCATTTCCAATCTGATTTCCTTTATTATGTATATATTCAACTTTAAAGATGAATAATATACTTGATTTTCTGAGTATCCAACAGCATGTTGGGTAACTCCAGCTCTTCCTTCTTTTGCTGAGTCATTGATTGATTGATTGATTGATTGAGACAGGGTTTCTCTGTAGCTTTGGAGTCTGTCCTGGAACTTGCTCTCTGTAGACCAGGCTGGCCTCTAAGTCACAGAGATCTGCCTGCCTCTGCCTCCCGAGTACTGGAATTAAAGGCATGTGCCACCACCACCCAGCTTGCTGAGTCAATTTTAAGAGGCAGAAATGGAATCTGTTGCACAGTCATTCATTTTCTAAGAAATAGTACCTTAATACTGTTCTAAATGTATTATTTTTTCTATTACTTTCTCCTTTTTACATTTTGGATATTATTCAATTGGGTATTTTTCATTCTGGATCCTTTCTCCTACTTCCTCTCTATTCTACTTTTTCAAATAAAACATAAATATGTCTATATAAATAACTTCAAGTTTTACTTGGGTTTATAAGTAACATTTAATTGTGAGAAAACTGATTATTAAGATAAAAAGATCAACAAAATCTTGAAGAATAATATCTATCCCAGTGATGATACAAGCCCTGCACTTGGGAAGGAGAGGCAGGCAGATCTCTTTGAGTTCAAGACTGGTCTGTTCTATTCCACAGCAGCCAGGGTTACACAGTAACACCCATTCTCAAAACAAAACACAACATTCAAAAAGTAAATGAAAAAACTTGTTTTGATTTGAAAGCATTAAAATGGATAATCTCAAAATGTGTTGAAAACTATGACCTAGGAAAACCCTCTTGATTTTAGTAACAAACAAAAAGTTCTTTTTATTCATTTTTCATGTTATGAATTTCATGAATGGAATTAATATTTGGAAAAGTCTAAGAATAACTTGGTTTTCTGAGCATTAATTTGTTAATTCTGTTTCTATTTCATAAGCTACCTAAAATTGTAGAATCAGGTATTTTCTCATGACCAGTGAAGAATATAATCTTTTAGTTTGATGATCTTATCATGTTTTCTTGCATACATATAGCCTTCCTCTATAAACAAGGAAGTCTATTACCCACAACTATTAGACTGTGGTATCAGGAAACATACACACTATCCCTTAGTCTAATGTCTACCTTAGACTATGACTGCAAAAGCATGCTCCTTTTCTTGGCTACATTGTTTTAAAAAAAAAAACTGACAAGAGATTTACATTCTGATTCTTAAATACTTTACACTATTAAAATGTCTTACACCTACCAAATAATTTAAAGAAAGCAGTCATTTCCTGACGCTGTATAATTAGACAAGGTCCTTTGGGCCTCTTAGATTTGTTATTATGTGCATTTTTTTCAGATGCTTGCCAACTATCTTTAAGAATAGGACGCTTCAGATTAATAGGTTTTCTAGTTTGATGTGATCTATTTGAACCTGATTTTACATGAACAGTGACAGTAGGTGGTGTCTCACAACACATCTGATTATGCCGCATTTTGTCTTCCCAAGATTCCTATAAAAATAAAAATACAAAATTATTGATCACATTCATTCATTTCTATATAAAAACTACCTGGATACTACCATATGCAGTCATATTAAAGATTGACTTTTGCTATTAAAATGTTATTTGTAACACTGAGTCATATTACAAATTGTTCTTGTTCTTATAGTGCTCAGAAATGCTATGCCTCCTCTGGGTAATAGTATATACTCCCTCTTGTTCCATTTTGCCTTGGTTATTCTGGGACTCAAAATCAAATCTGAAACTTGTTTACTCTCTTTTTTGTGGTGTTCCTTTTTTCTAGTAAGTTTTCCTTGTTCACAAAGTTTCCATAGTCAATAAGCAATTAGTGCTTTGTAGGATTTTCACATATATTTATTTATATGTAAAAATATCTACCCAATATTTCACACAAATAAATGACACATGTGCTTTGTAGGATCTCACTTTGTTGAGACAGGGGTCTCACTATGTAGTTCTTGGGGGGGCCTGGAAATCGCCAGGTAGACCAGGCTAGAACAACTCCATGATCCTAATGAGAACTTCTGAATCCATGACTCATAGTGACCCAAGCAGTCACACTCCCCTTGGCATTCAATGAGTCATGTACAGATTTTCCTTCCTCCTCTCAGAAACTTCCCTGCTGAAGGCAAGGCTACACTCAGACTAGCTGGATACTACCAATACTGTCCAATCTGGGAGTCACATACATAGTTTTCTACTGTTAAGTCATATTTAAGAATAAAACATGAGGGCTGGGCTATAGCTCAGTGGGGGTGGGGTGGGGAGGGGAACTACTTGCCTAGCATACACAAGAGCAGGGCTTGATCCTCAGTGCTGAAAACAAAGTTAATTTTAATAAATCCAATGCAAAAGATCAAACATGTTATTATTTTAACATCTAACCAATATAAAATTAATAAAATATTTTACATCCTAAATTTTTTAAGTCTGGTACATTTTTGATACTTTATACATATCTCAATTTTATGCTAGTTACTAAATAGTTAATTCAAGGTGTAGTTCTATAAAAATGAAGTAGTGTATGAGAGAATATTTTACACTCCTTCCATTTTATATTTAAGTAAAAAATAAAGTTTTCTGTTGCACCCAGCCAAATTCAAGTGTTTATGGTCACATGTGGCTAGTGACTGACTACAGTATTGACCAGTGTAGGTTTAGATTATAAAGAACTAGGCAGAGAGGGCTGGAGAGATGACTCAACAGTTAAGAGCTAACAAGAACTGTTCCTGAGAGAACCCAGGTTCTCAGCACTCGCAGTGGCTCACAAGCATCTAATTCCAGTTCCAGGGAATTTGGTGCCTTCCTAGGGCCCTTGAGGGTGCCAGGAATGCATGTGGTGTACAGACACACATGCAGGCAAAATTGTGTGTGTGTGTGTGTGTGTGTGTGTGTGTGTGTGTGTAGAGAGAGAGAGAGATAGAGAGAGAGGGGGAGAGAGAGAGAGACTCTAAGCAGAGGATAGTTAGGAATAGAGATAAGTATTTGTAACCACAGCTATGTCTTTAATCTGAGACAAGCCTGGACAATATATAGAGACTCTCAAAAGAAACTAACAGACCCGTCCAGTCAACAACAAAAATTAGACAGAAGAAATTATAATTAGTTCTACAATTATTACTTGTTTTTTGTTTGCTTCCTCTATCTGTTTTTTTTGGGAAAACAAACAAACAAACAAACAAGCAAAACTAAGTAGCCATGAAGCTTCTCAAATGGAGTGGGGCAGGTCTAGGTTCAGTGGTAGAACATACCAGAATACAGAATATTGTGGAACATTTTCCACAAACTAAGTTTGACTCAATAGTGACTTTCAAATAATGTTTTATATTGAAGCCATGGGTAAATAAGAAAATGCAAACTTTGAGTATTAAACTATTTCATCTAAGACTTGAGAACACAGGAAAAGGGAACGTCTGAACTTCCCAAACAGAGATTCACTGAAATGAATAGACTTTAGGAAAGCTGTGGAGTAAGAACTTAAGGACAGAAGCTGCCTATGTCAAATTCCACTTTGCAGGATCTCTTGGATTTAGCTCTTTGTTTAGAGGGAAAAAATAAAAGGCAAATTAAAATATGCGACCTTTCTCAAGAGAAAGAGCAGAAGGGGGATTAAGAGCAACTGTGTCCATGACTATTGTGCAGTCATTTTCTCCAAACAGATACATCCCATCCTAGAGGGAAGCTGCTTAAGACTCGAAATTCACGATCCCGCAGGGAGAGGAAGTAGATTGCCTGTGCAGCTTTCCCAGCCATCATGCAAGGTGGGTGGGCTCTTCAGTGATGCAGCCTGTAAGCATCCATGCTTCTTTAAGTAACCCCAATGAGCACTCACCGGTTCACCAAACTGGACTTGGGTGGGACACCTACGTTTGTGCCATTGATTTCCCATCTGGGGTAAGTGGATACTGGTTTGCACCACTCAAGGGGAAGTCCTGCAATTCACCTGCATGCATTCAACCCAACATTTGAAATATTTTAGCAAAATTCATAAAGACGATGTCTAGGTTTGTGAGGTTTGGGGATTTGTCTGTTTTTGAAACTACATCTGAATTTTGCAAGCATCTGAAGAAAATTCTCTCTGGATGTAGTATAAAGGGCATCTGGCGATAGAATCATAAAACAGAAATAGTGTTTCTGTATGAAAACCGAACAGCCTGGTGACTAGGGGCAGGTAGGCGGGAGAACTTTTCGTACATTTGGAGAAACCAGCTAAGGGTGTCGCGATGAGACACGCCGCTCAGAATTTAATACTCCGGTGTGGCTCGGGGTTAGGGCGTGGGACCCGGAACAAAGCGGCCGGACTCGCATCCCCTTCAGCTCGCCCCGTGCAGCCCGCGCCACCTGCCGGGCGGCCGGGTCGCTCCAGCGGCTCCCTACCCTCAGCCCGCCGGGATTCCCTCCTCTCGCCCGCCCCGCGCCGCCAGTCCCGTCCCTCCTCCGCGATGCCACCCACCCGCGTCCTGGCCCTTGGAGCTGGCGGGGCGCTCGAGGCCGCGAGACCGCGGGGCTGCGGCACCCTCGCCTCCTCACGCAGGACTGCGGGAGCGTGCGGAGGGCACAGACGCGGCCGACACTCGGGTCTCGTCACCACGCCCGCCGGCCCCGTGAGGGCGAAGGTACCTGCGCAGCCCGGCGACGGGCGAGCGGCCCGCAGCCTCCGCTTCAGCCAGCTGCCTCAGGCGGTTGCGCGCCGGTCGCTCGCAGGCAGCAACACCCGCTTTTCAGCCGCCAGCTGCCAGCCCGGAGCGCGCGGTCGCCGGAGCCAATCAGAGCTCGGGAACGGCGGGGGGCGTGGCTGGCGCTGTAGCCCCGCCCCGCGCGGACTCTTGGTCTTCTGCCGTTATTCGGCTCCAGCTCTATGGACCTCCCCGGTGGGGTCGCGCTTTCCCGCGAACGTGTCTGTGTGGAACCGTTGGGGTGCCCCGGGCGGGACGAGGACACAGTGCTGCCCTGCAGGCCCGGGGCTGCCCGCCGTCCCCCCATCTCCCTACCTCTCTGTACGCGCCTCGCACGCACCTGGGTGCTTCTGAGAACGCTGCCGTCCAGAACCGCGTGTGCAAAAGAGCCCGCCTAAGCTGGCTCAAAGGGTGTGAAAAACGTGACTTTTAGTGAGGAGAGGGTAATGTTACCCTGTTCGCAGCTAAATCCTCTTGTTTCCTTGGGGAGGGAGGCCTCTGAGTTGCTGTTTCCCCCCCTGAAACATGGTTTCTCTGTAGAACTTTGATGGAGGTCCTGGAACTCGCTTTGTAGACTAGGCTGGCCTCGAACTCAAGAGATCCACCTTCCTCTGCCTCCAGAGCATTGGGATTAAAGGCATGTGCCACCACTATCCTGAATATATATATATATATATATAAAACCCATGACCTTTGGGTGCATACATGTGTCAAGAAAATGTTTAGGGAAGTGGCAGCTCCAGGTTTCATTCGTCTGCCTTTTCCTGAAGATCCTTACCTGTTGTCGCTTTTCTTAAAGTGTCCGGAATTCTTAAGATAACTAATTTTATAGCCATAGTATGTGATTTACTAAGCAATGCATAACTGAGCACATGAATTGCTAGCAGTATGTTGTAAAATAGTTGTGGACAGACATGAGAAATAACTAGAACACAAAACACAATGAGCCCTTTCCATGAGTATAGAAAACTACACACATACATACTTTTGTGAGTTTTGTGTAGTGAAGGCCTCCACTTGATCCATATGTAGCAAAGGATAACTGAACTAACTTCACCTAATAGGAACACTATGTCCGACAGTGTTCCTATTAAATTCCTATTTAGGTCAATTAAAAAAAAGATATTGAAGAAGTAATTTATGCTAATATTTTGGTTTAAAAGAACCAGTGAGAACTTCGTGAATGTGCCCATTCCTACGTTTTTGTTTTACTTCCTAGTAAACCGTTTTTGTGTGTAATGTGGATGAGTTAGTACTTTTTTTCCTTTTTCTTTTTAAACCAGCAGTATAAATGCAGGCAGATAATGTGTCCTCAATATTTTGAAGGGAACATGAATGTGAGATGACACCTGCTGCGTCATCCCAGGACAAACCTCATATGGTGAACAGGTTCTGAGAAAGCATTCTTTGTTTCCTTCTTGTCTCTTGTATCTGAGACCTGGATTTGACTCAGTATTTAAAGCAAGTCTCTGAGGGTTGGAGAGATGATTAAAGGCAATGGCTGTTCTTCCAGAAGATCCACGTTCAATTCTCAGTTCTGACATGGCAGTTTACAACTCTCTTTAATTCCATCCCAGGGGATCCAGCACCTTCTTCTGGACTCTGTGGACACCTGGTACACACATGTGGTACACATACACACATACATGCAAGAAAAGGAAGCCTAAGTATTAACTACTTCCCTCTTCTTATCCATCATGTTCTCCAATCTCTGAACTATATCTTTGCTACTCACTTACTGGAAAATAAAAGATTGCCTACAATCTGTCCATTTCTTGAACTGTCTGAAATAGAACCAGTCTGTCCCCATTGTACTTTAAAAAAAAAAAAAAATCCACGAACACAATCTTTTGTCAGACTAAACTTTATTGTTTCCTTGAACATGTCTGAAACATTTTCCCCTTTTTTTTTTCTGGGGGTCTGGGGGTAGGGTAGTTTTGCTTTTGAGACAGTTTCTGTGTATGGAACTCACTCTGTAGACTGTGGTGCTTTTTTGTTTGTGATCTAACAAATAAAGCTTACTTGAAGATCAGAGTGCAAGGTTAGCCACAATAGTTAGCCATAGAGGTCAGGCAGTGGTGGCACACACCTTTAATCCCAGCATTCGGGAGACAGAGGCAGACAGATCAGTTAGTTTAAGGCTACCCTGGACCACATGAAATTCATCTAGTCTAGAAAAGAAACAGAGCTCACACAAAGGTGATCTAGGCACTAAGAGTGATATGCCTTTTAATGCCCGCATTAAAGTGGTAGAGAGACCCATAAGGTGGGAGGAGACAGGCGCTCCTGGCAGTCTAGGCAGTCAGTATGGACATTTATTCTGAGGATTCATGGAGAAAGGATTGTCCATTTGGTCTGAGAGGTAAGAAGAGCTGGCTGCTCCAGTTTTCTTTTCTTTTTTTTTTTTTTTTTTAAAGTTATTCCTAGGCTGGAGAGATGGCTCAGTGGTTAAGAGTACTGGCTGCTCTTCCAGAGGTCATGAGTTCCATTCCCAGCAACCACATGGTAGCTCACAACCATCTGTAATGAGATCTTGTGCCCTCTTATGGCCTGCAGGGGACACATGCAAGCAAAACACTGTATACATGATAAATAAAATCTTATAAAATAATCATTCCTATTTCATTATTTCATATGCTTTGTGTTTTGCTTCATGTATGTAAATGTGAAGATGTCATATCCCCTGAAACTGGAGTTACAGGCAGTGATGAGAGGCCATGTGACTGCTGAGAACTGAACCCAGGTCCTCTGGAAGAACAGCTTTTAACTGCTGGACCATGTCTCTAAAGCCCTCTGTGTAACACAGAGATCAGCCCAACTCTGCCCCCTGAGCACAGGAATTAAAGGCGTGCTCCACCACTGCCTGGCTCACTCTGGGATTTTATTAAGACCAAAGAGATTAAAGGCATTTGATACCACGTGATCTCTTCACCATTTAAATTTCCTACTAATGCCCATATTTCAAGGTCCTGCTTAGATAAGTGAGTCTGAGTGTTTGCCACAAGCAGGGAATTGCCACAGGGGTGTTGTGTGTCTTTTGAGTGTCAAGCATGATGTAGGGCTTACGGAGCTTTGCCTGTCTCCTGGATCTCACATCTGTCTCTAGAGAGCTCAATGACAGTGTAAGTAGCTGTGCAACTCTTGAATCCTTGAAGCATTTTTGGCAGTTCTTACCTTTGTAATTTTGTTGACCAGGTTTTAAAAAAAGAACTTTTATGTTCATATACAATTTCACAGGAAGAAAATCTTATTTTAAAATACAAGATATAAAGATCATATGTTAACTGTAGGTCCAAACAATATGACATGAATGTAAGTAGGCATCACCCACCAAACATTTGTGCAGCACCGTTGGAGACCAGATGAGAGCACTGGAGCCTGTAGAACTGGAGTAACACGTGGTTGCAAGGCTCTTGAAACCAAACTTGGGTCCTCTTCAAGAGCAGCTAAGTACTCTTAACCCACTGAGCCCTCTCTCCAGCTCTATATCCGACACTGTTCAGATTCTGTAGCTCCTCCTCCCATTGTAGCACCTAACAGATGAGTAGGTAACTTTGTGCCCATTCCCTTTTAACTCATGGTTTTCCTTTTGGCATCCTCAGATGCCAAGGACAGCAACCACATTCATGAAAGACCCATCTTTCCACTTACTGGGAGATACAAACTGTGCCCAATTCTGTGGGAATTCTGTAGTGAAACCAAGCATTCATCCTGGACTAACTGGTCATTTAACCCAAAGCAAAAAATAATAAAACACCTGCATTTCTGTATTTCTTCCACAGGACCACTTTGTTCCTTACTGAAAATATATATATATATATATTTTTTTTTTGGTTGGATTTTCTCCATATTTTCTTCTTTGTTTTTCAAGACATGGTTTCTCTGTGTAACAAACAGCTCAGGATATCCAAGAACTCACTTTGCACACCAAGCTGGCCTCAAACTCAGAGATCCACCTGCCTCTGCCTCTGCCTCCTGAGTGCTGGGATTAAAGGAGTGCGCCACCACTGCCCGGATTCTCCATATTTTCTTGAACCTATGACACAATCAAGGCAAATGAGGCGACAACCTTTCTGCTTTCAAGTCTTGAGTGCTTGTCTAAAATGTTCATATTGATTAGATGAATATACAAAAAAACAGCATTATATATACTTTTCTTTAAAATACAAGAAGTAGATCACTATAAGGAAGACTAAGATAATGAAAGATTGGAGACTCCAGAAATCGAGGCAAGAAAGTATCTGAGGATGTTTGACTTTGAATATGTAATTTTCCCACTGTGCCTGAGATGAACTAGCTACAGAACCTTACTTCAAGTATCAGACTTCTTATACTTACCAATTTCTACAATGTTAAGTGCCAGCACACAAACCTACCCTTTTAAGACAGTGATCATGCACACCCACAGCCAAAGCCCCCTCTTTCCCAGGGAGAGAAGTTGTCTGGTAGCTAGCAACTAAGTTATGGTCTAGCCAGGACTTGGCTCTCTTGTGCCCTCTGTCACATGTTATGCTCACCTAAATCACCTGGTGTGAAACTTCCTGCCACCTGTTATATCATGTAAAAGAAAGGGACCCTTTTGTTTAGTTGTTTAGGATGGGACAGTTCTCTGAAAGTGCTTCCAACCCTCCTTTTCTCCCTCTTTTTCATTCTGAAGATTTTAAGGGAAGTTTCTTTCCCTTTCAGGCCCTGTATGTAGTTTTTAATAGACTATAACCTTTCTTCTAAAGTTCTCTCTCCCTCCTTAATTAAGCAAGATCATGACCTCAATGTCCTTTCTCCTAATAAACCTCTTTTTTGCCCTTCCATTTTTAAAACAGGGTTTCTCTGTGTAGTCCTGGCCCTCCTGGAACTCACTCTGTAGGCCAGGCTGACCTCAAACTCAGGTCTACCTGCCTCTGCCTCCTGAGTGATAAACCTCACTTCTGAAAGGTTAACAAGTATGTGTCAGTTCCAAAAACCAATTACTCTTTTCCTTATATTTTAACTATTAAGACCACAGTTTTCACAACGAACCATTCATTTTGGCAGTACAGACTCAAAACCTCCCAAGACAACTCCAGTATTTTGTTTTGAGACTCAAAAATAAAA